AGTACTCTCCCTACCTTCATGTGCGACCTAAGACAAGAAAGAGCTACGAAGGGTCTTTCAGATCGACAGACAAACTCGTTATCCGGTCACTCAAAGCTTCTTAGAGTCGCTAGTGAAGACACTGAATCGTACCATAGAAGATGGCGGATCTAGCGTCAGTATTTGCGAAATCTGAATCTTACCTGACATGGACAGACTCCAACTTCAACCAGCATGATGCCTGCCTACCTTGTCCACATTCAAAGCATCCAGGCTCTGCTCCGAATATATCAGAATCATTTCTTTCTTTCCAGTTCCATCAATTACGGTTTTCCTTGGAAGTTTGGCGTTTGCTAGAATAGTACGCAAGCAACAATGTGGATAGGTAACAGAAAACGCCCATTAAACCTGAACCTACATAGCTCTTGGCATTATCAAATACGCTGACATTGTGCTTGCGCATCACATCGAGGATCTTTTCCGGGATTACTTCATCCTCCGAGCGGGAGCCCAGGTATGCGCCCCCAGCAGCCAATCTGACTGGGACATTCTTCAATGTTACGGATATGGTGGCTGTTGACTTTCCGGTCTAAGGAGCATTTAGAAGCTCATAGATATCGAGGTGAGATGCCCTGCGAAGGCTCATTTCAAATTTCAGCTGCTGTTTGCTGGATGGAATAGTCTTTCCGGCCAAGCAGATGGAAGTAATCCAGACCCTTTATGAGTAGAGTAAGTCCGAAAACTTCGGGCTCTTGCCTCACCAAAGGGCCTACCCTCAAGCGGCACAATAATGCCAAGTCCAAGGTATTAGTCGTTCTACTGAGTTCTCGGGCAGCTACGGCAATGCTGTTCGTGGCAATGAAACCAGTTCCTTCCCTCTGTTGCGAGAACTCGGCATCTCGATTCAGGCTTAGTCGCCCCTCGACGCAGGCCTACCAGTCAGACGCCGAGGTCCATCGCGGCGGCCCAGGGAAGCTAAGACCCGACAAATTTGATGGAAGGATGCATCAAAATTGGTAGAACAAGCCCTCCTGCATGAAGATGCTTGCTTCCAGAGTCTAGTAAACTCGTGTATGGCCTAGGAATTAGCAGATCATATGTGGCCCACTGGTGGTTGAAGTACCATTCTGTTCTTGATGAAAGTCTGGGCGACGTATTGCTGATAGGGGCCAACAGCAGTGATCAGCTGGAAGAAAGTCTGCTCATGCTTGGGAAGGGGCCTTTTGGGCCATAAGCCGTCGAGAAGATCGGTGAGCTCTGGGACCTGGTAAAAGCGGATGCTCCAGTTAGAACCCTCGAAGTCGTTCGCAAGATCGTTCGGAATTTGAGCACTGAGGCTTGCTCACTGGCTTACATTGGACATCATCCCAATAACGCAGTCGATAACTCTCACGCTCGATAGCTTCCTGCCCGCTCTGGTACCCCGACAGCAAAAGATACCCCAAGTATGTGAAGCCGTGCAAGAACAGGCCAGATATGTGAAGGAGATAGCAACAGGGTCACATTGACGGAAGCCAGTATTGCGGTTCACCATAAATCGGCGATTGTAGCATGAGACATCAGAGCACGCGACGCATTGCGTCAAAGTTCCCACATTATTTCTCGAGCTATTTACTAAAATATCACGTGTTGTTCGACAAAAAGTAGCAACGCTGTTCGGTTCTGTTAATGCGTGGTATCGTTCTCCATCAAACAACGGTCATTCTATCCTATGCCAACTCGTAACTACCATGATTCTGATCCTTCGGCCCCTGAATCGGACGATGCGGGTCAGGCGTTGTTCCCTGCAGCTCTGGCTTGAAGTACCCATCCCGGGGATATTCTTGGTATGGAAGCTCTGCGTACTGGGGGACTTGGCCGTTGGCGGGTGTGCCACCCTGCGACCAACCGTCATGAGAGGAGATGTGGTCGGCCGGTGCACCGGTGTACTGTATCTCTGGTGCCAAAGCAGCGGCAGCAGCAGCGGCTCGCTTCTTGTGTCGCCGACGGATCAGGAGCCAAGAGACGATGGCGATGATTATCAGGGCGGCGCCTCCGCCTGCCGCAGCCCCGGCAATGAGGCCAGTGGACGGGCCGCTGTCGCTTTCTGCGGACGCTGGGTTCGTTTGGGCAGGCGTTCCACTTCCGGACGGGGACTCTATCTCCTCGGGCTCGCACCACTCCGTTGACTCATTCCCACTGGAATCGACAGCGACGAGGTCAACGTCGGCGGTCGGGTTTGACTCCCACAATGTGAACTCGCTCGTGTCTTGGTTGAGCATAACGTATGCCGACGAGAGGAACTGTCTCCCAAGCTTGATAACGTCGTCAGAGTTGCCCCCCTGAATGCCGTTGATGACGAGGTTATGGCTTGAGTAGTTTGCCACCCAGCCAGGCGAGTCGGATGGCATGACCCGATTAGGGACGATGAGCTGGTGGTTGGGGATGCGGATGGAAGGACCAGCCTGAATGACGATTGTCATGTCACCATCGTAGGGCACATCGTCGTCACTGTAGACCATGCTGAAGTAGGCTTCGCCAAAGGTGCGTTGCGTGATGGTCTGGTTCGTGATATCCATAAAGTTATCCAAGTGAGGGTCGATGGGGAGCGTCATGAGGACAGGATAGTCGGGTACGATGCATGCAGTGAGGGCATTTCGGAGCGTATTCGGAAAAATGCTGGCGGTGGTTCCGTTGGGGAAATTGAGGACAAGGTCGGTTATGGTCACCATCATGGCGGTGTCACAACCTTCCGTCTGTTGAAGGGACATCTTATAGCCGCGGCCATTGACCTTGGCACGATCGTACCCACCGAGGACAAAGGTGCCATCAACTTGGCTGCGGGAACTACCGCCAGTCCAGCCATGAAACATGCTCCAAACGCGTGAGGCGATCTTCCCGCTGGACGTGAGCGCGGTGAGAAGTGTTGAGTTGGCTCCCATACCGAGAGCCATCATGGGATGATAGCCTTGCTGGGCCCAATCTTGAAGAGGGATGCCAATAGGGAAGCCATCGAGCGAGACATTTTCGTTGATCTTGACGTTGTCGGAGACGAAATTCATGCTCGGAAATTGGGCGCCATCTACGGGATGGGAGTCCGAATCCGTCTTCTTTCGGCTGGATGATGCAACCATGTCGTACTGTCCACCCCGAAATGTCGTGCACCCGTCTTCAGTCTGTGGAGACACCTCCAAACCGATGCAAAAGCCATTAGTACCGTACACAAGAGTGTTGTTCAGATGCCTTGAATAGGAAAGATGAGCAATGATCCTCTAAAGCCACAGTCAGATGGCACACGATAGGCCATCCCGACTGATCGATACCCTCTCGAGTGGGTTAGGGAGACTCATACCACTGTGGAAGAAAGGCGAATTCCTGCTCTGGTGTTCCTATGGACACCGCCACTCCTCTTGCCTCCTGGGCGTTGGAAAGTGTGACGTTGCCTATCTTTGCGGCAACAGGATACGGCAAGCATTGTGTTGAGACCACATCGATCATAGTCATGGAGACCAGCAACCCAAAGACAGCTCGAGGGCAAGCCCGACAACTAGAAGGGCGCCGCATCAGGTAGGTAGTTGAGCAAAGGAACAAAATCAAATATTAGAAATATACTGTGTGTAACGAATGTAAAGATGGTCAAAGACCCTGTTAACTCGGGAGGAAAACGACCAAGGAGCGGGACGCGGAGGCACCGCGGGCGGACGAGAAGAGAGTTTTGTTTCGTGCCCATCTTCTCCCAGTTTCGGTCTCAATGCATCCATCCTGCAGCAGCACGCGAAGGTAGACAATAATAGTCACGCGCCTAAACAATGCATTGTATGCTCACTGACTGACAGGGAGTTCATTTCAGGTTTGCCGAGCTGCACCTTTGCAACCAGCCAGCACCCGACAGAGAGTCCCACCATACCCTCCATGTTGGCCCTGACCAGCAGGGGGGACGAGCAAGAAAAAGGCCTCCCCATGAGACTACCTGATCTGAGGCTCGCCGACCAACATGGAACATGCCAAAGCAGGTCTCCCTCCTCCGCGCCGTCGGCTGTCATGAGGAACGGCCCGCTTGTAGTGGGCTCTGACCATGCGCCAAGGAACGGTTGGTGATTCGACCCTTCAGCCGCTGCCGGGCTGGCCAATCGCGGGATTGCGCGCGATCAGAGTGGTCTGCTCCGCCCGCGGAGAGCTGAACCTTGCACGGCGCTAATCCTCATCATTTGACTCAGTCGAGGCGGTGCTGTGAGCTCACCAATGATGACCTGTACATCACCAACAACGTCAGAGATTTGAAATTGGGTTCCAAGCTGTCGGGACCTGCTGGCGACACCACACATGAGTTGCCTTCCCTTCGAAGCGAGTTCGCCCGAGGCTGATTGTGCTGGATGAAGGCCGCCTCGAATGGATATCTTCTGCTGGGCTTTCTTCACCCCTCCAGGTTCTCTGAATTCAAGAAACTAAACTAGTCTCACCTCGTGGCGGTAGCAGCCGCAACAGAGTTGACATGGTGAAGAAGTGTTCAGAATCGGCTTAGCGTAAGGTGACACAAACGCTTCCGTCGCAAACAAGAGGACACCCACTTTGAGATTGCCCACCCTCCTAAACGCCATAATGCCATTGGTGCAAGACCCTCATCCCAGGAGAGAGCATCACGCCAAGGAGAGAGAGACTCTCAGTCGGACAGGGGTCCTTTTCGAAGCTACCTATGGGAACACTGACCTCTTCATCAAGGCTCCATAGTGCTCCGGCCCCTCCACTTGTAGGCCTGCTGCTGTACACTAAAGGGGCCCCTCGGCGACTCACGCTGGGAGGAGGTGACAGGGTTTATCGTAGCACTTTACGGAGCGCATTTGCCCATGAGATACGGACGAAGCTTGCCGCCTGAGGTACCGAGGCCAGGCTGCCAGGCGATGGTTCCCTGCCGAGTCTGACGAGCTCACTCTGACCTCGTGCTTCGCTTCCTTCTTCATCTACCCATCAGTCTGTTGTCTCGACTACGAGGCTCGCGACACTTTTTGACGCTAGGTCAATGAGGCCGGACCAGTGACCCCTCGCCCCAGAGCCCTTGCTCCGATATCTATACCACCTTGCGCAAATTCGGCTGGCCCTCGATGCCATGTTGTTGAGGGTATTCTCCCAGAAGCGCGTTGGCGTTGCGCTCGCGCTGTTGGTCCTAATCTCAATCGCCCTCTCTTCGCTGTACCTCCACCCCGCCTCCTATTCCTACATCTCCGACCAAACCTCAAATTGGCGACCTCACAGCCCCCCCGCAACACTTGCTCCGACAAAGCAGGATCCGCCAGCCCCCGACGCGACCGAGCCAACGCCTGTATCGACGTCGCCAGTTGCTGACGTCGACGGCGCAGCGAACTCGAACCCCGACGACGCCCAATCCCCCAGTTTCCCGCCCGATTATAGCCTCGTCATTCCTCAACCATCGTTCTGCGAGACACGATTCTCCGAACAATACCTGCTCGAGCTTCACCGGCACAAAGTATCATATTGTGCGTCGGAGGCGCAGTCAACTTTCACTTGCTTCCACAGCCACTCCCGACCGGATCATCAGGTCGATTCATTGTGTATCGGCCGCGGTGCAGACCTTTCAGGGGGCTACCAAAAAATTTCACCTCGATTGTCCGCTGCGTACCCTCGCAAAGGAGGAAACCGATGCGGGATTGATACCTTTCAACAAGATCAGGGGATACTGGTACGAGACGGGGCCGGCGCAGATCCTCTCTCGTGCCGTTGACCTCAACAAATATGTGCCTCCGCCAGTCAAAGACGACGGAAAGGCCACCGCTAAACGACAAGACGATGCGCCTCCACCAGACGACGCAGTGGCTGAAGAAGCTTCTCCGAGTGTCACACCACAGTCCGGCAGCACGCCATCGGCATTGGCATACCCAAAAAGACCGCCGCCCAAAAACTTCCTGCTCCTCAAGCGAGAGGGCGAGACGAATCCTTGGCACTGCCTGATGGAGATCTACTCTTCGTACATGGCAATGGATGTGCTCCGAATGTCGCGCGATCAAGACAACAAACCCTTTTTTCGGGCGCCCGAGGACGTCAACGACACCCAGGTTGTGATTCTCGACGCGCGCGAGGATGGTCCCGTACTTCGACCTATGGACCCTCTTTGCCGCCAACCGCAGGCCACTCCGCATGAAGGAACTCCTAGCCGACCCTGCCGCCGTGGACGCCGCCCGAGACGCCAACATCATTATCCCTTCTCGCAGGTGGCAGCAATCTGCTGTGGCAAGACGACGCCGACGTCCAGTAGTGCTCCTCCGCGGCCGACTTCTTTTCGGTTTTCGCG